TTCCCCATTGCCATCATGACTGTGGTGGCATGTATGCCTCAGATTAAATAATTTAAAACACTAGTCTTGAGAGGGGGAAAAGTCTCTTCTTTAATGGGAAAATCTGTGAATGTCTTCAAGCAAGAAATGTAGTATTCTCAGATGAGTTCAAAATGAAGAGGTACCACTTTGTGTGTCTCTATTTTAATTTAAAACCATACTTTTTTTTGTGTAAAGGAGTTTTAGTAGCTTTAATAGCTAGCAAGAAAAGAATTAAAATCTTTGCAAAATGTTAGCAAGAAAATGCACTTCATTAGCTCAGTGGGATAGAAAAGGTTACTTAAATTTTAACTACAGCTTAATGGTTGGTTTCACTGATTTCATCTTACAGCATTCTAAAACTAAAATTCTCTGTGCAAGTGAGTGGTCACTTGGACGTGAGTGACAGCAGAAGCAGGTCATAAACTAGCAGCGAATGTCATGCTTAAGAACAGCACCATTGTATTGGAGAAGTTGACAGTCGGCTATAACTTAAAAGAAATACAGTATAACCACCAATTGCTAGGAAATTTGGCATTACACTTTTTATTGAAGTAGATAGAAGAGAGAAAAATTACCTTTTTTTTTTTTTTTTTTTGGACATGTGTGTCATCTAATTTTTACAGTGATAGCCAGATTGTGGGATTTTTGAGTACTAATTACTTTGATGTGTGATCTGAGGTTGTTCAGGACTTGATTTTCAAATTCCAGTTTATTTTGTGTGGCTGTATTTTTAGTGATGACAAACTTTTTAATACAGCGGGATGAGATTTATTCCATACACACGCATTTCAGGTATTTCAGAAAGACTACAGATGATTTCCACTGTATCTACTGTTAGTGTTCAATGTGTACGATACTGATTCACAAATCTTTAAAGATGAGCAGGTGCTTCTTGCTCTGCCTCTGTTTATGTATCTGTAAAATGGGTTGATATTATGTCATTGGTAAGCTGACACTTGAGCAGAATCATTTTTACACCCTGGATTTTGCATCCTAAGGGATATTTTCTAATCATTCTGGAATACAGACAAGTCAATTTAGGAACTGGTAGTGTAGCTAACAAATCCTATTGAGTTACATTTTTATTTCTCCCATAACAAACTTCGTTCTCCACAGCAAATAGGGCCATTAAGATACTCATGTGCTAGATGATGATTTTTTAATGTATTCGGCAGTCATAAGAATTTTAGATCTCCAGGTGACATCAGTGGGAACCGTGCGGTTGGAAATGCAACCAAAGATGATCTTTAATCATTAAAGTCTTCTCTACAAAGGGAATTGAGGGTGGGGTTGCTTAACCCTGGTCCAGTATGAATATTGTAGTTGCAGTTGTGTGAGGGTTTCCCAGTCTTCTACAGCTTTTTCAAAGATAGCATTACGATTTCAAGATCTAGCTTTGCAGCTAGTTTCTGTGAGATTCTAGGGTACTAGTTAGCCAGTTTTAACTGATTTTGATGTTAAAGCAGAAATATTTTGTGTTTGCAGGTGAATTCCTCAGTTGGCATGTAGAAAAGATTTTCATCAATATAATACCACAGTAATACCATAGTTTTTGGTTTGTTTTTTTTTCTTGTCTAGGTCTCTCTCTACCTGGATCACATTACTTGTGCCGTTTTCAGGATAGACTGATGTGGATATTGGTGCTAGAGAAAGGCTTCACTTACTGTGGTGTTAACATTAAGGTAACTGCATGCTAAGGACTGACATATTCATGTTCTGAAATCATGCAAACATTCTGCTGTATAATATTTCAGCAATATAACTAATTTACCTGAGGTTACAGTCAATTTTTTAAGATGTTATTGCTATATTAACTAGTCTTGCAACTGTCCTGCTTACCAGATGTGAAGTTTTTTATCATCTAGCTTGTGACATATCATCTTTAATAAGCTGGCTAGTAAGATCTGTATAAGGCAAAGATTTATTTTTTTAAGACATTGATCTGTATGTAATACTGTAGTGAGTGTTTTGCTATTACTATTCTCTCTAGTTAGATTTGTAGGTTCAGTTGTGGAAATACTGACAATGGAACATATCTTTATTTCTTCGGAAAAATTTCACTGCAAGAAAACGGCTTGCTAGCATTTAAGGTTATGTATTGGCGAAGACTAAAACCAAATTGTTTTCATTTATGCTTTAGGGGCTAGAATTGCAGGAAACGTCCTGTCATGCTGCTGAAGCTCACAGAGTTGATGAAATTTTTGAAATGGCCTTCGAACATCAGGAGCACACAAAGATTCTCTCTCCTAATCACCATTTTGGACACATTTTGACTCCTTGTACTGTTCTACCTGTGCGGCTATATTCCGATGCCAGAAATGTGTTATCTGGAATAATTGACTCTCATGAGAATTTAAAGCATCTGAAAGATGATTTCATTAAAGTGCTTGTATGGATGCTTGTCCAGTACTGTTATAAAAAATCAAAAACATTGGAAAGCCCAGGCAATGCTGACAAGAACAAAAAAGGATCATTTCTAGAAAATCAGCATAGCAGTGCACTAGAAAGATCCAGGCCTCTGAGGGAAGAAGATAGCTTTAGTGTTGATACAATTGAGGACTGGGCTGATGATAGTGACATTTTTGACCTTGAACCTAGTAGCAGAATGAAAGACAGAAAAGAACCTGGGCAGTTGGGAACTACACCAAAAGTACATCTGTGTATTCCAGGATCTGTAGAAACACAGAGCCAAGATGTCCCACAAGAAATGTCACCAGAAGATAAATTATACAGGGCTGTTGTGCTTGGGCTTCCTGCTGTAGATAAAGGGAATCAGCAAGAAGTTTTACCTCAGGTTGAATTTAGTTGCTGTTACTCAGAGCTATTGAGCATCCCTGAAGAATGGAGAACAGCCCCGGTGCCTACTTCCAAAGTCAATGAAATGAGGCAGAGGTTTCCAGAAGAATGGTACCATTTCATTTTGAGTCAACTGGACTTTTTTCATCTGAAAGAAAAGCCTTCCAATTTACTTGAAGACCTTATGAAAGATACAGCTTTGAAAGACTTATACATCCATGGCGTATTGTCGTGTTGTTTTGGTCTGTTTGGACTAGATAACACTGTGCCTGCCCCAAGCCATGTGTTCAGAGCGTACACAGGAGGTATTCCATGGTCTGTTGGTTTGGACTGGCTAACGGGCAAACCAGAGCTATTCCAACTTGCATTAAAAGCATTCAGGTAAAAGAAAAATATTCCCTCAGATTATAAAAATGATAGACTCCTGTGCTTTGAAAGTAAGTATCACTTCACGAAGAGTAGTTCATGTTAAAACCATATTATTTAAATATATTTGTAGCTTCTTCCTACACAAATATTGCCTGTAACCCCAGGCAGTGAAGACTGTGATATGGAGATTCCCTCCTTCTTCGCTTCCCCACAGCAGCTGCCTCCAGCAGTGGAAATCCACTGTGTTAAGTGGGGAAAAACCAACCCATTTTTATTGTCCCCATAATCTAAGAGAATTGTGATGGAGTTAGATGTTTGGCACTTTCCATTATCAGGCAGCGGTAACAGTATTTGAGGTGAATGAAAGATGTTTAAGCTAATTTGTTTTACATCTGGGTGAGCTAAAAGCATACCCCTACTAACTTCTAGTGACTCAGCTGACAAGCCATAACCTACAAAGTTGATAGTGCTTGATAACATTTGATGGTGCCTCTCTGCCTTTTCTAGCCTGAACAGGCTTTCTTCCTCCTGTCTTTTGGGGCACTACTTACTCTATGGCTTTGTGCACCTTTCAGATACACTTTTAAACTTATGGTTGACAAAGCAAGCCTGGGTCCAGTTGAGAACTTCAAAGAGCTGGTTAACTATCTGGAAGAATATGAAAAAGACTGGTACATTGGACTGGTATCAGATCTTGAGTGGCAGCAAGCAGTTCTTCAGGAGAAGCCATACCTTTTTTCACTGGGCCATGATCCAAACATGGTAAGAAACAAAATTACTACTAAACAAGATCAAACTTTGGGTTTCTTTTCCACTGCTTTTTTTCTTTTTAATTGTGTTCCAAAACATGAAGGCTGTGCAACCAAAGTTTATGTTTATACTAGGCAGGAGCTGACATCACTGTTGTTGAAAATCACACTGCGTTGTTCTCCAGATGCAGCAATATTTCCTGACTCTCTTTCTAGATGGAAGAATTGAACTGAGACTAGTTTATACACTTTGCCATTTTTAAAGGGACAATATTCATAGTATGTAGCCCCAAAGCCTCATTTAGTGCTTTGTAACCAAAATGCTTGTGTATCTTCTCAGAGAATGTACTGAACATTTTGATCTGTTTGTTCTTAAAGGGAATTTACACTGGGCGAGTCCTCACTCTTCAGGAATTGTTAGTACATGTGGGAAAACTTAATGACGAAGCTGTCCGAGGTCAGTGGGCAAATCTGTCCTGGGAGCTGCTGTATGCTACAAATGATGATGAAGAACGTTACAGCATCCAGGCACACCCCGTTCTTCTGCGAAACCTTACTGTGCAAGCTGCGGACCCACCTCTTGGCTATCCCATTTATTCATCTGAACTCCTGCATCTGCCTTTGTTCTAGAATGTCTGTACCACTTTTTAACTGTTGTTTTGTATTTTCCATCTGCGTGTTGGGAATCAAATGTCCATGCTACATTTATACACTACAAATAAGATTTTACTCTCAAAATGGCGTTGGATGGCAGTGCCAAGCCAGCGTACATAACTTGCACAGAAATGGTGCTAGCCAGAACCTTCAGCAGGCAGGAAGTTCTGAACTGTTTTCTTGCTGCTGGAACATGTGAGACACCATTGCCTGTGTGGCTGACAAGCCAGGAGATGCTGAAATTCTCTTCTCCAGTTTAGAGAAGAGCAGCATAGTTCTGATCATTAACTATTTTTGGTGCATTCTGATTTTTTTTTTTTTTTTTCTTTTTAATAGTTGGACAGGTGACTTGCACTGACAGTCAGGTTACAGCTCACTGTAATATCGTCAACCGCAGAGTTGGTAACCAAAGTGTATATATGACTATTTATATGATTTTTTTTCTTATTCTGGCCATTTTATATTGGACTGAGTCCAGTTTTAGCATTTGTTATAATATGAGACTTTAGCTGATCTTCCTTAGTTGTAGTAAGTTATCAGCTATGCTTTAACAAAGGAAGTTGTAAGGGACGATTCTTACCAAAGTACTTGTTTGGGGGCAAAGAGAATTTATATAAAACAGTGTGCGTTCTGACATGTTAGTAACCTGTGTGACCTACTGATGAAAGTAAATGTGTAATTAGGGGAGAGGAGGCATTTAAGTCCAAATGGATTAATTTTATTTCCTTCTTCCGCTATCCATGTTTTTTATTTATATAAATATGTATGTTGTCTTTTGCAACCTATGTCCACATCACTAACCAGTCTTCCACAAATACAGCCAGAGCTTGATGATGGGGGGGGAGGGAATCCAGCTCTCTGTGCCAGAATTAATTTTTTTTTTTTTTCAGCCTTACCACAGGTTGGAACAGAATTTGGCAATTGGTTTGTAATATTACAGGTCTCCTTGAAAACACATCTGGGTCATCTCTCCAGTGGCTTGTTTATCCTGTTCGTTAGCACCAGTCATTAGCACATAAATGTGTTTTCTCTGTAGATCAGTAGTTATAGTGTCGTTAACTGCTGGCATACACCGAGCAGCGTGTAGGTAATTGTCTGTCTTTAACCTGTAGAATCAATTTAAGTCAGATCTGCTTCGTAAGTGAATTAGTACTGGTTTAGAACACCCAGAGTTGCATATTTTGGAGCATGTTTATTGCTTTTACTCCTCACCTTTAAGACCTTTTTGTATCAGATAAAATTTGTCACAGGACTGTGTACTTGGCTATTAGCCGTTTCTTTTGATCAGTAACCGTGAATGATTTTAAAAAAATATGTGAACCTTGTAGTGGAATTCAGAGGTAGTAAGGAAACGCCTGTCAAACTCCATGGTGTAACACTTTAACATACAGGATGAAATTCACACAGAACATTAACGGAAGCAGCTTTTAGAAGGTGATTGATTGGTGTGCAGGAGCGTAAATAACAAAGTGCTGATAACCTAAAATCACCTTGCTTGGCCATGAACTGTATCTGGAAATACAGAGTCATGAAAACTGATCTGGAAGGGGCTTTTAGAGAGCATCTATTTCAGCTCCCTCTCAAAGGAACTACTCCTGGCAGATGTTTAATCCGATTTAAAACTTTCAATACCAGGAGTATAATGAACTCGTCAAGTAGTTTGCTCCAGTTCTTTGCTGCTCTTGCAGCAGTTGGAAAGTTTGGGTTTCTTCCTAAATCTAAACCTCCCTGCCTCATTGTCAGCCTCTTACTATTTGTCTTCTGTACGGTCACAGAAAACTTAATTACCTTTTTTTGCAGCAGCAGTCTTTTATTTGAAGATGGTTACAATTTCTGCCCTCATTCTTTGTCTTCTGTAAAGCGAATAAACTAGTTGAGAAAAAACTGGAGAGCGCTGTGATCCTTTTCTCTTGCTTTCCTCTGGTTCTTTCCATCTGGTACCCAGCCTTCTTGAAAAGCGTTGCTGGTAACTGGCCCTGGTGTTCCAGCAGAGATCTCGATCGGTACCAGATGGAGGAACAGAATTAGCGATGTGCAGAATTCCTGTTTGCGCACAGGAATGTGGAGTTGGGCTCTAACGCGCTGTAACATCCTGTCCCTGCTATCGCAGGCAGCATGTCCTACAGCCCCTTCTTCGTTAATACACTGAGCCAGTTCGCACATTCCAGTATGTTTTGCAACAGTGTGACCCTGATTCATGTTATGATTTTTCTGTAACCCTTTTTAGATTCTTTTTTTGGCAGAACCACTAGTTACAGCCTCTTGTTCTGTATCACAAATTTGTGCAGCTGAGTGCCTGTTAAGTGTGTTGTTTTGTTTGCGCGTTCCTGAACTGTGTCCTGTTTGTTTTGGAGCATTTCTTTGATTTATCAGGAATTTAGAGCACCATCAAGCCTGGTCTTGTCTGCAGCTCTCGTAAGCATATAATATATGCTGCTATTCGGATTACCGATAGAATACTAGTACCGGACTGAGTATCTAGGACTGAGCTTATGACAGGCCCCCCACGGTTTTCCCGTGTGACTACTGAGAGCTGCTCTATGTTTTCTAACCAGCTGTGTGCATCAACTTTACTGTAATTCTTAACACCTGGTTTACAGATTGCGATGTTCATCACACAAAGGTAAGCGTAAGACACCTTCATCATGGCGTTGGAGAAGAACCTTTAACAAGATCATTTTTAAAGTATTTTTCTAACAAATGTTCAGTGCTTTCTAGACGATTTTCACCCTCTTTTCTTGAGCCTTTACAAAAACGTTAACTCCTGGAGGCTGCCTCTCTCCCATTCATGTACCATAAAGCAACAGGAATCAGTTTAATGGAATGAAGTGTTAGGGAAGTGAAGTTTTGAAATGGCAAATGCTTTGTCCTTTTTGGAAGGAGTCTACTTTCTGCATTTTCCTTGAACATGGCCTCCTCTCTGAAAGAGGTAATTTTGTTGCCACCTGGTTCCTGTTGTCCCTACTGTTGCGCCTTCCATGCTGTTCCTTTGTGTGCTGCAATAGCATAGTCCACAAAGGAAGGTCTGTGTTTACATGTTTGGCAGCAACTGTCCTTGGCGCAAGCAAGAGAAGAGAACTCCTCTTTGCGCACAAAGGCTTACAGTTTTTTAGGTAGAGAAAAAGCAGAGAAACCTGTATATAAATGGGAGAGCACGCTTTCTGCTGCGTGCAGTACTGCCAAATCTTCTGTGGATTAGAGGATGGAAGCTAAAGCATCCTGCAAACATCATCTGCATGTGTGTTGTATTAAGAGTAGCTGCATTTTGTCATGCAGACTTACTGCTGCCTCTTGAACTGTGGCTTGTGAAAGTGCTATAGGAACTGGTGTGTTAGCAAGTGGAATGAACCTTCCGTTCTTCCAGAACAGCATGAGATGAGACACTTGTCATCAGTTGAGCAGTCTTTTTTTTTTTTTTCTAGACAGTAGTTTCCATCTTTGTTAAATGTCATGTTAAAAACATCACTCTTGGCTCATTCTTCGCTATGGTTGGAAAGTTTCAGTAATGTATAAATGGGTTGTTATTCTTTTATTACCACTCAATGATGTAAGAATGTTTCTTAACTGGATAGTGTGTGGCCTGAGGTACATCCAAACATTTCTGAGGCCTTTGTCAACAGCAAGAAGGTCACCAAGCTCCTAAGTACAGACAAGTTAACCACTACAGAGGTACTTCCAGCTAACGGTTGAATTGGGTGTCAATGGGATGGTAAACGTTTTAAAAAAGTACAGTCCTCAGTTCCTCACGGCTGTTGCTGTCCGGTACTCCACCAGTACTGTCGAGACTGGCCTCTGCTCTGCGTGGAAGGGCCTGTTTCTGACTGAGCTGGGAACTCGGCTTCTATTTCACACTTGAATTGCCTATAATGTGATGTCTGCCCTAATTCAGCTCCGACACAAGCACCAGTGTCTTGGCTGTAAGCAATCTGCTGTGAAAGGGATTTCTCGATACCATGCCCCCTCGTGTAGCTAGAGGCTCTTCTGCTCCAGGAACTGTCCCCTGCTCCTCTCTCCATGATGCCCTATACATTTAACATGTGCCAGGCTCAGAGCAAGGCCGAGTACTGCCTTCGACAGGGGTTACAATTATACCGTCACTCTCCCTTCCCCGCTGCTTCTCGAGACACTGCCCAGTTCTCAGCCTTCACAAAACAGCCAGAAGACTGAGGACTGTGGACTCTGCCGTGGTGCTGAGAGACCTAAAGATTAAGCACTTCTAAATGTTGTGCCAGAAGTTAAGGGATTTAGCCCTAAATACACATGATGATGATATACATTTTGCTCTCAGAGCACCTGCAGGGCAAAAATGAAATAAAATACCCTTTTCCTAAAAGGAACACTTCACAAACACAGACTATACATCCTTACCCTTTATACCACAAGCTTCTACTTGTGGGGTTTTTTTTGCTCAACGTCCATTAGGAATGAAAGTGAGGGAAATGGGATCCTGTGGGTATATAATTTTTAGCCTGCTCACCAAATATTTGCCAATGTCTTAGCAACAGAAAAACAAAATAATACTGCCTGGCCTCTCCTCTCAATTCTTGTAAGCTTAAAAATTCAGCCTATGCGAGTTTGGCATGAAACAGGTATGTTTAGAAAGAGATTTTTATTTAGTCAAGTGTGTATACAGCTTGATAGATTTGTCAAGTTACATGATGACAAAGGCACAACAGATAAAAAAAAGCTTTTGTTTGCAGTCACGCAATATGAAAAAAGTGTCTCAGCCTTAGCACAAGCAGGATTTTGTACACATTTGTCCTTACTTCTTCTTTCTTGAGTAAGAGGCATCAGCGTCCTGGAGTGAGAGTACATTAAATCAGTATTTTCCCCCCCTTATTAAGTCCTTCGCCCACAGTGTTATTTTGCTTGAAACAGTTCGTGACAGTGGACAGTTACAGTGTGGAAGTAGGAAGTTTCAAGTTGCCTATGCCACCCTTATTTTTGCATTTCCCACTTTTGGAGTACTTTAACATGGTTTTTTGTACTGAGTTCAACAAAAACACAGTAAAAAAATACCATCTACCAAGCAGTATTGCAAGAACAGAACACTGCACTGCACATCTGTCTTCTGGGAAGTGAATGTGAGTGAAGAGCCCTGACAGACAGTAGTACTGCTTAACACAATTCTGGGAGGTGCTCAGATTATGTGCCTGATATAAAAACTAGACACAACCAAGGGAGAAGTTTTCAACAGTCTTAATTCCAAGCTGCATTAATAATTTACACTAGTGACTTATAGCTCGGCTCTGCGTTAATGCTGAGTTCTGAACTTGCAGCCTGTGTGATGAAGATCAGAGCAAGACCTTTGGCACTGCAAGACATACCGACTTCCCTGTCCTGTGGTGTGACCACGCTGCAGTAATTCTAGACTACCAGGCATGCAGCGATGGAGTCTGGCCTGGCATCAGCTGCTAGGGAAGTGAGGAAGGAAAAAGGAAACAGATCCAAAATGCAATCCCAACATTCCCATGGCTAAAGAATCTGTCAGCAGAGTAAAAAAAGCAAGCAAACAGAGGAGAGAGGAATAAACTTACCACCCCGCTCTTAAAGTTCTGTATCCTCCTCTTGCCCATCCTGTTCATCAGCCACCAAGCCCAAGTGGGTGCATACTGCCAGAGGTAGCAAACGGCCAGATAGGGGTGGTCGCTGATCCAAGCCTCCTTCAGGTCGTTGGCTGTGCTCACCAGGGTGAGCCGGACACAGCGGTCGGTTGGCATCTTGTGGGACTGATCACCGCTGTTCTCTATGGACTGGAGGGGAGAGACAGCAAGCCAGGAGGGTTAGAACCAGACTTCTGTTCATGGGAGAGAGAGGGCCAGTGTCTGTGCAACAGACATACTCCTCCCAGTTTCTCCACTGTGCACAAGCAGGATGACCCAGCCAGTACAGCGGAGACTGGGGCTGGGGAACCCGTTCCTCGCTATGCTAATCCTCTAGTTTAGTGCGGGAACACTTACCACCTTCCTTTAGCACACATGCTTAAAGCACCCTTTTAATTAATGTCTCAATTGATGGGCCAAAGAAGGTTAAAAAATGGATCTCCAAACTCTGCCCTGCTTCAGCATGGCTTCTACTTTATCATGAAACAGATCTACCACAAGTTACCCATTCTGCAGCTGAGGGCTCTGAGAAATGGGAACTTTCCCATTCCCAGCTGCCTACCCCCATTATATGCTACAAGTTACTCAGTAACCAAGTTAGTAGATGAGGCCACATTCCCCATTAACTGAAATATTCCTGCCAGCTCTGCCCTGTGGGCAGCCATCTCAAACAACAGAAAAGCAACCGGCTTCTTCAGTGGCAGGGATGTCTTACTTGAAATCTTGTCCACATGTACCGCTTAGCGAATGTAACCACAGCCCTGTGAATTTACATGCATTTCACTCCAGCAGTAACAGACTGCTCTATCAGCCTGTTCTCCTACTTCCCAGAGCAAAAGCAATTCTGGTCTAGATTCAGTCTTCCTCCTAGGTCTTTTGCCATGCTGAAATCTGAGGAATTTGTTTTGCAAGCTTTCCAGATTGCTCAAAAAGTACATCTTTTCTTTCACGGAAGTATGAAATTTTGCAAGCCTTTCAGAACTTGATTCAACAATGGGAGATTCCCCCCCAAACGCGCTGGTGGGTTATTCTGAGCTTTAAATCAATTGAATTTAGGACAGATTACATTTTGATGTATCATAGTAACAATTTTTGCCAGCTACTTTGTTAGACAGCCTTTATTAAAAGCAATTGTGCAGTTGGAAGGTTTTGCTTTTTCTCCTTGAACAATCGCTAACAGGAAAAGAATGCATGCCTCGCATCAGCTGACTCTAGTGGCTTTGCCAACAACAGCGTCAACCAAACAGAGGACATCGTGACTAGGGCAAACAAAAAGCTACCTGTGCAGAAAGGACAGAAAGGATTCTGCATGCAGAATTGTGTCCAGAAAATCCTGGCCTTTCCCCCCAAAGTGCAGCAGGGCAGCTGTACAGTAAATTTTACTAGACTTCGATAGTATGTGATGGAAGAGAGAAGGCGTAACAATTCTCAAACTTTGTTTTCATTTGATATGGACTTGATACCACAAAGAATTACAAGACTATACGAAGTTCTGCACCAATCAAAGCACTTCTTGGTAAGACGATGATGTTTGTTTGCTAGGAGGAGAAAGAGAAAAGAAAACCACGAAAGGATCACTGGGCCTGCAGCAAAACTTGGATTTATCACAACAGAATTGAGTCCTTACCTTTGCAAGATTCTCCGTAAAGACATTTTGTATAATCTTAGACTGTACAGGCCCTGGGCATATGTTGATGATACTTATCTCAGGGTAGTCAGTCAGCTCAGTCCGAAGAGAATTAAAAAAACCCTAGAAGAAAAGACTATAATGTAATCTTCCTTTGCCGTATTTCCACATGTAGCAAGGTTTAACTGACAACATATTTTCATACTAATTCCATGCTATAAAGATAACGGTATTCCGCTAAAAGCAATTCCTACTACTTTGTTTGACTTTTCACATTCAATGGCTAATTTAAAATTTTATCTGCAATTACAGACATTGATATATAAATCACTGAGGAATCTATCCTTGACTTCTCAAATACACAATCATTTCTCTAAACTACAGTTGGATTCTGCTGTCCCTGTCCTGAGGATGAGCCTCACTGTTTTGGTAGCGGAAGTGCCACCAATTTTAAGAACTGCAATATCGTGTAAATAATCTTTTGCAGGTGAATTGCTCTTTGTGGTGAGATTAAAGATTTTAAATTGTTTTTATTGAGTAAGTGGCACTTGTTTTATATAAGAGGAGGAGGAAAGCTTTTCAGCATATTAAGTCAAAGATTCACCCTGATATTTTAGGGGGGCAATTCTGCACCACTGAATTCACTGCAGAGTTTGAAATTTGCATCCACATAGATATAAATCTTATTTCAGCTCAGGAATACGCTACCAGTGTATCTAAGTTAAACTGTAATTAGAAAAACTGCAAGTATTTCTTTTCTTTAAGCTAAGAGGATGCAAGTTTTTCTAATCTCTGTAGCAACTCACATTTAGACAGCAACTATTATGGGGAACGTGATCAATTCAGGAAGGTGCTTCCTACCAAAGTTGCTGGTCAAGCAGTGCAGAGCTATGATTCAGCAAACATCACATCATGTCTTATCTTTGACCTGGTTAACAACAGTTCCCTGTATTTATTCTAACACATAATTTTGTTAGAATACTGTCACACTGTCACAACAGAGACAGTGTAAGCAGAGGCTGATAAACTTCTCCCACTGTAGTAAAAATTTGTAATTTATACTCCCACCCAGCTTGGGAAGAGGGCTGGCTGACCCAGAGCTCTGAACTAAATTGCAACACAGGGCCAAAATCAGTCAGATATGCTCCTGTGATGACAGAGAAGGAGTCAACTGGGGCAATCCACTAAAGCTAAGCAATGAGTTGCACACCAGTGCACACCTATGACCAAGAACATGGGCTCTAATTTCCCAATTGCTGGTGACTAATTCCAGCTTATAGATTGCATACAGGCTTTGCAGTTATGTTCCATAAAAACGCTGACCATGTATTTCAAGTTATAAGTACCTGCAGGCCCCATAACTAATATCACATCTTCACAGCACGTTATCAAAGCCTGGAGATGTGTAACTTCTAGAGGAGCAAGTTCTAACATAAAGACACTCACATGCCCAGAAGTCTGCTTCTGGACACACTGGGAAGCATCTCAGATCTGCTAACCATCCAACTGTTTTGGATTAAAAACCCAGGCCCTCCCCTAGATTAACTCCTGCCCTGAGAGGAGCCTCCTCCACCCCTGGTGCACACCTTCAGGTGTGGCACCAATACGGCGGTGCTTTATCCACCACTCTAGGCTAATGCTACAGCCCAGACCTGCACTTCCCACATTCCCTCCTTTCCCCAAAGGGTCCTGAGCCGCTTATCTCAGAAAAGCCCCTTAACCCCCAAGTTGTGCAGTCCTGTCACAAAGTTGTGACATTCAGTCCAGCTGAGGAAAAAGTAACAAGTGAAAAGACACTAGACCCCAAAGGGGAGAAGGTGGCAGCACGTGTCATGAGCATGGCCACCTGGGTGAGGCGTTGAGGCAGTACTGCTTCTTGTTCACGAGTGCTTTCTATCTTATTCACCCAGCAATGAATGGAAGTCCAAGCTCTCCTAGAAATACTGCCTGAACAGCAGCCTACGCAGCTATCCTCCCTCCTTTGGACAATCGTTGGTTATTCCATCAACACTAAACTGCACGAAAAGGACTAAGCAAGAGCTCTCCCAGCCCACACTCCCTTATCACTCCCTGGTGTTTTGGTGAGGAGAAGAGCTGACTCCCATTTTGCCTGAAGGAGACAAACTCAAGATGTACTTCCAGGAGTCGAGGAGGTGGAAGGGTGTGTGTCTGGGAATGCTGTGACAGAAGGGAAGCCAGAAACATTGCTCAGTCACTTGTGACAAAGTACCTACACCAGATCAAATGCTGGGAGGCTTCTGGGATACAAATTCTACCTAAAAATGGGCACCTGCCCACAGTCCTGAGTAGCCACATGAAGGCACACAACAGCAGTCAGCTCTGTAGGCAACTTCAGACACCTTTCTGTAGAGGGCTCTGGCACACTCCACTCTCAGACTGCTGCTTCTCTCCAAGTATTACAAAGGGAGCCTTGCTGACCTGAGCAAGTTGCAAGACACAAAAAGCTGTGCATTGGTCCAGTGAGCCTGCGTTATCTTTGAAGATCCTGTCTACACAGCAGCCGATCACAGGGCTGCTGAGGCTTTTTTCAGAGTGCTGTGTGAGTAGCACTGTCAAAGTCAGTGCTATTTCATTAAAGGGTCACACAGCCTGTAAACATGAAATGCATGTAGCCAGAGATCACAGCGAGCTCCTGTTTCTGCTCTGTGACCATGCTGCTATCCCCCTCCATCTCAAGGGGTTTGTGTGCCTCCTCCTTCCCCAGTGCTGCAGTTCCAAGTTTTTACACCATGGAAGAGGTGTAGTCTTCACCAGTAACACAGGATGGCCAGGGCACTTGCTCAGCTGAAATCCTGGCTGACAGGCATTGAACAGAGCCTCTTGAAGACAGAATCTCACATACTCTCAGTCCCCTCTGGAGGCTCTACCTACAGCATATACAGGTTCTCTAATTCCAGCACTTATCTTAAATATCCAAAGGTAGGTGGTATGAAATTCCTCCACTTCCTCCCAGAAGAGAAGCTTAAAATTCCTAAGTAAAAAAACAAAGTACTCTCTTCTTTAAATTCAGGCAGAAGCAGACCCAGATTTGGCAGCAGTAAAGTGCAAAGGGAAGAATCAAGCCCAAGCTGAAGCCAGCTCTGACATAGAGACAAGGTCTGTGGAACAGGAACTGCTTTAAGCCACCTCTGGGCCTTTCCAGCTTAGAGACCAAATCCTAGAAGATGCTGAAGAAGGCAAGGCTGAACTGACTTCTACTATGACAGAAACATTTAGAAATTCCCCTAATGACCAGAGACTGAACAAAGAGAGTAGCCATTGCTGCTCAGTGCAGTCCATGTGCTTATTAGACAAGTTCCTGATTAAGGAACATTTTGAAGGCCGCCATTTCCATTCCACTCCACATGCCACCAATTATATGAATTACAACTAGATGAATGGCACACGATCTCCATGAGCATCATCACACTAGGACAGAAACTGCATCAGTCAGATGCAGACTCCCGTGGACTTGACTCATGCTCTTACCGCACTCCCAAAACTGAAATAAAGGGTAATTTCATCAGTAGAACATTGTTATCAAGAATTCCAGTTGGCGTGAATCAAAGCACGATTGTTTCAAGAACAAATTTTAATTCTTAACAGAACTCCTTCCTTCCTTCCTCCTCCAACTGCCATTTAAAAGAAATTTATTAAAAAAAAAAAAAAAAACACAAAAACAAACAGAACAAAAGGAGGGACTTTTTCAAAAAAGGCATAATTAAGATTGCAGCATTAACTGTGTCAGCTGTGGTAGACTCCAAGGCATGAATTAAAAAAAAAAAAAAAACCATAATAGATTAAGTCATGTCAGATAGGCACATATTTAATAGCACGTATTTAATAATTGGTGGCCAAAATGCAATCTCTATTCTAAGATCTTCTCGAAATGAAGGTTGATACATGCTGGGAAAACACAACAGGAAAAGCATAACTTTATGCTTCATCTAATTTTTCCCCTACCCTCTCTCTAGCCATTTCTTCTTGGTCATCGTCAGAGATGGGCTACTGGGCTATCTGAAGAGGACTGCCATTCCTATAGACTTCCTTCACCTGAACTGTACTGGTGAAGCTTGATACTTAAAAAAAGCTTTTCTAGTTTTTCAGGGTTTCATGCCCACGTCTGGCCATAACTCCAGACTGACAAGAGACTTTCAGACCGAGTCTTTTTGAAATCTATATTGCAAATCAAACGTTTTAACACCTGCAATTAGTATTTGCAGAATTACTGTGAAAGAGATTTGGAGTTATTGAGCAGAGGTAGAAGCTAACAAAGATACAAGCAGTTCAGTTAGCTTATTTTTAATTAATCCAGAAATTTTAGTAAACTATCTCTTTAAAGCTTCTTCCATGTTCTCAATCTTAAGATGAGTTTCAGAGTTCTGAGACTTTTTAAAGTAACACGTGAATTCCTTGTGCTCTGCAACTAATTAGCCATGCTTAGACCAACTACACCACACCCAAAAGATAATTCAACTGAAAGAACACTTAATAAATAAAGGAGCATAAAGGGAATTCATGCTTCTACTCATTGCATTCTTCTAATTTAAATCTACTAGACTTAAACCAAAAGCTGGCCTCTAATGGGCAATTTCATCGCTGCCATTCAAATGAAGAGCAGCAGACCTCTCCCCATCACTAACTGAAAACTTTTTATCAGCAGAGACCTGTCACTGTCTACTACATCTTCATTCTTACAAGTGCCTACTGGCTTTGCAGTGTCAGCCACTTGTTACATTTTTGTTGTTGTTAGTCAAATTGTCAAAAAGATATTGATCCAATAGTTAAGCAAAGTTATTTACCCTGTTTATGTGCTTAAATCCAGCAGGGACTAAGAAGGTGCCAGTTCTTTTAAATCATCACTGAGCACAGCTGAAGTTTATTTTACTGAGATCAAAGTGTACATTAGTGGGAAGTCAAACAGTGGTGAAAGACAAATATGTCTAAATAAATTTACTAGTTAAACAAATGATTCCTCAATGATACAGGCAGTCCTTTTTCCCCAGGTACTTTTCTGAGCGACTTTCTGAGACTACTTTCAAAAACTCTTTCCAAGCAATATTGAATAGTTAAGTATTATGCAGCAGATAACTTCCTAAGATACTATGAGCTGCCAGTTCCTCACACCACAGCAAGATTCAGAACTGCTGGGAGGATTCGTTCAGATGTTCTCAGCTAGATCAGGAATTCTCATTTCTCTGAGCAGTCTGCTTTACCACTCATTGTTCTCACTTTACTGTCCTAAACATTTCCTGTAGTCTTAAAACTCTCACCAGTGACTTTTCCTCCCTAACTGAATTAAGATGAGAACATTAGGGCTTCTATATGCAACAGAATAATCCTCTGATTTAGGTACTCCTTCATCTGAAGGCCAGAGGCTAAGGTCTTGTGTTTCACATTGGAATTCAACTACGTAGTGGTTAGGCCCAACTAAGATGGCGTTTGAATTTTAGTCAGGTAAATAAATCTACGCTGGCAGCTGAGATATTTCATATTTCAGAGCAAATTAATTTTAAAGGACTTTCAAAACCGGAGAAAATTACATACGCTGTGTGCAACTTCAGGGGACTCTTGTGTTTTCTGCACGGAATAAAGTCCTCTGCTATAGCACTAACTGATGGTGGTCTATTACACAACAAGACTTAATTAATCTCAGAAATTTAACTTACCTGCAGAGCATGCTTGCTGGCACAGTACCCAGAGGCAAGAGGAGCTCCCATGATACCCATCACACTGCTCACAGTAACAACCTTTCCTTTTTTCCTTTGGATCATGTGATTCAGGACATGTTTTGTTAAAGAGATTGTACCTAGGTAGTTGAGTTCCATTATGGCACTGTAGACATCCAGGTTTGTATCCACAAACAGAGAGCGCTGGGAACGTCCACCGTTGTTGACCAAAACATCAATCTCAGGAAAGACACAACGATGTATTAATATAACACATTTCCTTTAATACTTGCGCTTCCTCAGGCAATTGTTAAGTGACTATTCTCTTCTCTCTAATGTCGTCTCTGCCATACACAAGTAAGATGTATCAGGTGCTGAAGAAGTTTCAGCAGTTGCTCTCCCCCACTAGACTTCCCCTCTGAATTGAAGTCTGGCTAATTTTGAGCTGAGTCAACAGAACAGGAATACAGTGTTTGACGCCAAACAAGGTTAACTCCTAGTACAGGAACACTGGCAGCTGGAAAGTTGTTTTCCACACAACATTTTTTAACCCTGCTGCACTGTAGCAAGTAACACTTAACACTCAGGTCCTGAAAGGTGACCCCTGAAAATACGTTTTATGCAAAACCAGAAACCAACTAGAGCAAAGGACAGCAGAAACAAATCTAGTACCAATAATTTCACTGTGAAACCAAAATACCAAATATGGACTAAAGGCCTAGCTTGAAGCTTTGCACATCGCACTTAATGTTAGTTAGATCTGACTACTATTGTTTTAGCTACATACACTGGACTAGCAATCTAGAAAACTATGCACAAAACAAGGAAAACAATTGTGCCTGGTGTCCAGTTTCGTCCCATATGGCTCTGAACCCAAATTACATGCGTTACTGAAACTACAAAATAAAGGTTCTGACTTTCAAACACAATTTTAAGCCCTAAATGTACAGCGGAGGATTGTTCCAGTTGGTCCAGAAATTCAGTGACATTAAGTGAATTTTTAGTTCTTGGTAATGACCAGTGATTGATTGTTCATTGCCGCACCTCTGCAAAGCCTGCTGAAACCCAGAAGCAAGAAACAGAAGGGACGAGAATTTAGGTACTTTCTGGCAAGCTCAATACTGAAACTTAAGAAAGATGTAGACTCTGGTGAATTTACCATACAACAGAATAAAAGTGAAATACGAACATAAATGCAGGTATAGGAGATAGATAGAGAAGAAAAAGAAGTTTAACCCCAGAAGCACACCCTACCTTGCCAAAATGCTTAAGAACACTGTTGGTTGCAGCTTCATGAGAGCTTCGGTCAGTCAGGTCAAGACGCAGAACAAGGATATCTTTGTCACTCAAGCTGCTCATCTCTAAAAACAACCATGAAGTGAATGGGAACCGGTAAAATTGCTAACATAACAATTGTGGGAAACGTAATGTGCTTTTAAACACCACATTTTCACTAAAAAGACACCGAGAAATCATAACATTAAGTTGGAAATAAAATGCTTGCTTTGTTTTCATTTTGATCTCCACATACAATCCATTTTTAATCTGTTTCTACCAAGTCCTTCTTTTCTCATCATTATGTTTTTGCTTGTGAAGAGCTTGACTTTATTAAGTAGGCTTGTGTAGCACAATATAGACAATTGAGTTCTCCAAATAAATTGCAATAGTTGGCAGTAACATATGACAGGATTATTTGATACCGACATTTTTCACTGAGCCATTCAGAAGCACAGTGTATTGGCAGCCTTGACACTTTGCTTGTATGTTAACTGGTAAAGCATGTTTATCCTTGGCAATAGGACTAATACAATTTAGACCCAAAACACAACATATATACATGAGTAGCTACGAGGCAAAGTCTAGAGAAGCTAGATTATTGGAGGATTATTGGAAAAGGTAGAAGGAGAAGGTTTTTGTTTAACTGACAGCTTTTAATATATCCACCTCCTGAAATAAAAGTCAGCTGTCGTCAAGTTCAAGCCTTTATGTTGTGTGTTTGTACCACTGTCTCTTCAGAACAACTGACCTTTTCCATAGAAAGTATTTCTTGAGCAGTGATTTGCTACCCTGGGGTTTTGGGGCAGATGACTCACAAAAATAGTGTCTTCAATGTTAATCTTTTCAGCTTTTTTTTTTAACTACATATAACATGATTTTAACTTTATTTATACTAGTTTGATAGTGCTATTTTTGTTTCTAAATTGATTCACAGCCACAACTAAGTGTACCTGCTCCCCTTTAAGCAGCTGCCCTCTTCAGAGAGCCTAAGGCTCTGATTTTTTAATTACTATTTCTTGCATATACAGGGAAGGCTGAACTTTGTCTTTACAGTGATGTACAAATAAGGAGGTTACTTAAATCCGTAAGTTACCTCTGTTCAAAGGTCACTAGTATTTAGGCTACTGGTTATAATAAACCCATCTGTTTGGTTTAAAGCTACCAGTATTTCCATTTATTGCTCCCTCCAACCCCTCCACGTGTATTTTACCCTCCATTTCTTCCAGAAAGACAAGTAAAATCCATGTAGCTTAAACTACCTTCTCAGAGACACACTCTACCTCATGCTCCCTCAAGCAGATTTGCACAGCTAAAGTCTACTGGGACGTGGAGTGTTTCTGACGTGGATTAACAAGACCACAAGGTCAACCCAGCCAAGAAAGCTACACGGGGGAAAAGAAAAAAGCAGAGGAAGAGACACAGATCGCTGATAGGGAAGTGCTCTTTTATATGATGTAAGAAATTTTTGACTTCAGGAAATATCAAACCAGAGGCCTAGTTCTTGTTCTGGTGCAACCAGTAGTCCAGTCTGATTTCCACCCCTCAAAGCACTCAGACCATACATCTCTATCAGTCTCCTCACTTCTTTTCTGGGGTAAGGAATCCTTGTCTAGTCACTCCTCAGATAGCTTTTACAAAACTTCAAACATTCTTGTTACCCTTTTTCTAAACTTCTCCTACCATCCACTCATGCCCTTGTTCTTCTGGCAGATGACTAGAACTGTGCACAGTGTTGAAGGCATGTACATGTCCCAATTTATATATTGTCAGAATGATGCTCTCCATTCCTTTTACTAATAACCCCAAATATTCCACTTTCTTTTTTGCCTGCTACCAAACTGATGTTTTTAAGGGAACAATCATGATAACCCAGAAAAAGACTTGCTCCCAAGTGGGAGACTTTAGTTTAGAGTTCATCGTTTTACACAACTGCTAACATACATTAGTTAACCTCCTTTAGTGAAGCATCTCCAGCTGCAAAGTGAATTGTACATGGCCACCAGCATTCGGATACAACATATCTGAAACTGAGCACTCAAAGCTCGGTCTACCCAGAACAAAGGCCACTTTCACACAGCTGTATTTTCTGGAGGTCTTCTGAAGTCTCCTTACATAGCAGCTTTACGCTACACGGCTTCTCATTGGGATCAAACTGCCCAACCACCAAGCAGCAGGTCTTCTGACTGACATTTGCCTATCAAGCAATCATGGACTACCTCTTCCCTGTTGACGGTTCATTAAGTTCTAGTTACTTTTTAACTAAAACATGCTTACAATCACCCAAAGCCAACTTGTTTTTTGAAAGACAGCTGCGTAAGTAATACTGACTTAGAATAGTATTTTGTTACGACATCAAGTGTACACCTCCTTCCCCTAGAATCCCCTAGAGGATTTCAGATCAACAACTCTTTTCAATACATGTTAATCCAAGATAGCAGTTTCTCGTAACACAATAAACACTATTACTCATCATAGACTCTTTATTTCCCAGCTCTTCAGCACTTCCTCTTCTATCTTTTATTTCTATCTTGTATAATGCCCTTTAACAGAACATGAGCTTTTAGCAGAGGCTGAACAACATGGCCTTCTGAGGTCCATTCCAACCTCAATTACTGTATAATTCTATAATTTATAGATTGTCTGCTGTTCATTTGGCCTATCTATATTTAAATCATATTTGAGCTTTGCCAAACCAAGAAACATACACCCCATCTACTTTTTACTCCCCCCCCCCCCCTTTTTAGGGCTTTGGAGAGAAAATAGCCTCCAAAGTTACTGGTGAAATTCAACTCATGTCACAGAGAGTGGTTGGAGGAAATACAGAAGCCACTTGCAGGAACCATGTAAGTTATACAAGCGGTTTTCTCTCCCTCCTGCAGAGAAGCGTTGAATTGGCATATGCATGACTGAACAGGTATTACCATAGCTTTTATGGTACTTTCTTTCTCTCTCTCTCCTCCAGCTTTTAAGCAGTGTAGAATGCATAAACGTGTATCATAGGGTGGTGTCTCTGAATTTTGCACACGATAAATGTGCTTGCTTCTGGCATCAGTATGAAAATTATCTAGTTAAGTTGCTGCTGTGTAGAGCATCTACAGCTGGCATGTTAAAGCCTATTAGCTCCAATTATGCCATACAATTCAGCCAAATTCAAGTTGATGTTACATGTTTCAGCTCAATCTTAATCCATCCCACGCTACTCAAACCTTACAGAATACTCTTGAACTCAATTGCAAAAAGAAAACATGCAGATGGAAGCAGGGACAAGCCACCCAGGAAGCACGTGGACCCACCGCCCAAGCATGCAGAAATGCAATCAGGAAGATCAACACTCAGACGGAGTTGAAACTGGTGAGGAATGTGAAAGGCAACCAGGGCTTTGTAAGTACAGCACCAACAAAAGGAAGACCAAAGACAGAGAGAGCTCACTGCTGAATAGGGTGACGAAGGGCACAGAAAAACATGAGGTACTCATTGCCTTCTTTGCCTTAGTCTTCACTGGCAAGATCTCCTCTCAGGTCTCCCACACTCCTGAGGCTAGACTCTGGGGGAAAGAAATACTACCAACATCAGAGGAAGACCAAGTTAGAGATAAACTGCACACATAAGCGGGGCAATATATATATCCAAGATTTGCAAGAGCTGACCAATGTCACTCATCTTTGGAAGGTACTTGCTAAGTGGAGTAGCTCCCCAGTGATTGGAGAAAACCAAATGTCACACAGCCTAACCTTAGTCCTTGGAAAAATTATGTGGCAATTCCTCCTGAAAGCAATTTCCAAGTACATGAAGGACAAGAAGGTGTCTGGGAAAAGCCAGCATAGATTTAGCATGGATATATACTGCCTGACCAACTTAATTGCTTTCTGTGATGAGATGACTGGCTCTGTGGACAAGGGAAGAGCAGTGGATGTTGTTTACCTTGACTATGTAGCTTTCTACGTTGTCTTCCATAGCATCCTTGAAGCTATATTGGGAAATACAAGGGGTCTACATGAGTGGATTACAATTCAAGTGAAAAACAGGCTGGATCACAAGGCCCAAAGAATTCAACCATTCGAAGTCTAACTGGTGGCCAGTTATACGTGGTGTCCCTCCATGATCAATATCTTTTAATATCTTCATTAATGTCTTCATCATCACTTAGATGACAGGACACAACACAGATTTTCAGCAAATTTTCAGTTACATCAAGTTCAAAGGAACAGTTCCTATGCTGGAGGGGAGGACTGCCATTCAGAGGCATCTTAACAAGCTGTAAGAATGTTAAGATTAATGAGGTTTGTCACACCAAAGTCAAATGCAAAATTTCACACCTGGGACAGAATAATGCCATGCAGTACTGCCAGCCAACATCCAAATGGCTAGGTATCAGCTCTCCAAACAAGACCTGAGGTCCTGATGGAAGGACAACAGCAAGTTGGACATAAGTCAGCAATGAGCTCTGGCAGTTACAAATGCTAGTGGGCTGCAATAGCAAGAGCAGACTGAGGGAAGTGACTTTTAAGTGCCTGTACTTAAAAACTGCAACTAGAGTACTGTGTCCAATTTTGGACCCCCCTAGTTCAAGACAAATACTGATAAACTGGAAATAGTGTAGCATAGGGCCACTAAGATGATTAGGGGGTCTAGCGCACATGGTAAGCAAGGAAAGGGGTGGAAAGCTGGGTTTATATAGCCTTGAGAAAAGAAGGGTAAGAGGGGAAGGGGGCCCAATTACTCTCTTCCACTACTTAAAGGCTGGCTATAGAAAATATGGAGTAACTATGTTCCTAAAGAGTTTCCAATATTCCTACTAATCTGACCTATAGTTAAAATAAAGTTCAGTAGCATCTACTTGCAAAACACATGGCTACATAAGACTTCAAAGCTAGTATATACCACAGCTAAGACATTCACAGGGTTACTTCAAGTTGGCAGACGCAGAAATTATCTTACATAAATCTGTACTCCTGGTTCACATCAATTGAAATAATCTTTCTCAACGTTCCTTAGCACATCGCACTCTCATACAAGTGTTGCCTGAAAATGGATATCCAGGATTACGGCTCCTGCCAGCCTATCTAGTGTTATCAGTTTTGCAATGACAACAAACGGCCATAGACGCAAATGTAGTTGCATACTTTTACTGACTGCTAAACACTGCATCATATAGCATTGGAATTTTGCCATGATTACCACTTAACCACACTGTCATCTTATGTCCCTTGCTTCCTTTTGAAGATCATCTATTTAAGTGACTGCTTTTTTCAAGCTTCAGAAAACAGAAATAAGGAGTTGCGCATTTTTGAAGCTCCTTGACAGATTTTCATAGTAGCCTGCTGCAACTTCTCGATTTCTAGAAATGTTCAGGTGCTAACCCAAGACAAATGTTTCATTATTCACCAGCACTCATTCCAAGTAAACTGTGGACATGCTGTCAACATTACCAGGAATGAACTGTCAGTGTCATAATATACTCAGTATAAAATACTGCGTACTGAGCTACAGAGGATATACAGTCTGAAAAAGACTATAATGTTAATCATGTTCAAAACTTCCATTTATCAACATGAATTAACTGTCTATCCCGCTTGTTGTCAAGCCAGAAAACAGGAGGGAAAAAGAGAAACAGGAGGAATGAAATCAGACTACTGACTCAGCAGGCGTATGAAAGATAACTGGAATAGTTAAACATTCTGCTTCACATTTGTTCCTCTTGATCTACAAGAGATCTTCTTTCTTGCATTTGCTCAGAACAACTTTTTCTGAACATTTCTCTTCATTCCTTTTCCAAAGAGGAAAGTCAGTTGTCAGTCTACCTGTAACATGCACAAACCTGAAGGAAGACGACTTCTTAGTAGCATGCAGCTACATGGTTTGGTTCTTAATAGGATGATACCCCTCAGATTGTTTCCTCCATTCCCCACAGTATTTATTCCTTTTCTTAATCTAATATCTTACAAGACCACTTGCAATTGATAATGAGATTTTTAGGTAACGTTGGCTTATGAAGGATCTCATAATGCAAAACTACACAATGGCTTCTTACTCATAAAAAGAAAATACCAGCTTCAAACCTACAGTGAAGCTATGTTTAAAGTTTACTTTCACCATGAAATTTATTCCTGTGATATGTGGGTTAGTGTATCTGTGGCAACTCCATCACAGCAAGAGTGGAACTGCTCGCATGAAGTAGCAAGTTGTACTTACGAAGGCATTTCTTTTTCCCTCTTTCCAGCTCATCCTCTCTTCTTGCTGAGATGGCAAGCAAGGCTCCTATCTTTGATAGCTGGTAAGCCAATTCTTCTCCAATTCCACTTGAAGCTCCTGTCACCCAGACAACCTTGCCACGCAGTTCATTTTCTATCAAAAGAATCAAGACAGTAGATCACACACTGCCAATGCTAGGATAAGCATATAAGTCACTGCAGGGGTAAAATCTGATACTGTTTGTAAGAAATATGTTCAATTTTTTTGGCTATTACAAAATCTTGACTTCTTTATTTTTTGGTCACGTGCAGTTGTGAAATTGTTCATTTCTGTTGCCACTTGAACTTTGTTCCAAGGCTAATCTGAATAAACACTGATTATCTACCTGATGGAAGAAATTTGATTGCGTTTCTGCAAACCATCCACACATAGCATTTCCACTAACCTCATCAAAAACAGCTTCAGAGGAAAAGGGAGAAGAGAATTCTTGGGAATGACAGGAAACAGTTACTGTATTGCAAATCCAAACAAAAGCCTAAGCAAACCTTTCCCAATAATGTCCTACCTCAAAAATGTTCCTGAGTAATTGTCGACAGAAGAAAATTCTCTGAACAAAGACAGCTAATCATAACAAACCAAATGGGTGTTCATCCACTGTTTTGTATCTGATGCAGGTTAATTCCTGCATTGGCTGGAGTACACAGAGTTCCCAAGGTGTAAGCGTGTGAATTTCGCATGTACTTATAGTTCCTGCCCAGGCATGCTTTTTTAACCTGTAGTAAAAACAATGGCATCTTACTCTTTTTACTCCTCTGCTTATATGCCTGTTCCCCCTTGTTTGCAATCATCCCCACTCCATGATACACCTGCGTACCGGGAAAAGGCTTAGCTTTTCAGATATATATACAAAATCATCAAATACAACAGATGGATGAAAATCACCCATTTAATTCTAGAGCATGATTTAAGGACGAATGATCACTAATATCAGAGCACTTTCCAGAATGTATCATTGTCTAACACTTGTATGTGTTCTTCAAGATTAGTCTTAGTGAATATTAGTCTTAGCAATAATCTGACTCAAGTACTTGGAGCACTGCTGACAGGAGCTCTTCCTTCTATTTCTCAAGTTTGTATTCCAGCAATGTCTAACCAACCAAGAAAGATTTCATGGTATAATTCAAATAGAAGAGCCAAATGCAGTTCCTGATACTTAAAGCCAGTTCTATTCTGAAAAAGGCCAGAACAGCATTTTTCAGCTCACTGAAACTTACCCACTCATTTAATTTGGAAAAAGTACTTCTTTTTCAGTGGCTGGGACTGCTTTTACTTCCTGCTTACTTCAGTAATCAGTTCCTGGTTCTCTCTACACCACATTGTGTTTCAAATGTCTACTTTCAGAGTCTTAATGACATAAATTCCATGAAGAGATCAGCACCAAAACCTTCCACCCTTCTGACAAGAGCAGAGAGCACTCAAGACTGACTATCAGAGCTCAGCTTGAGTCTGTGGGACTGGCAGCGAGTATTATTTGTCTTTTTTTAAGCTAACTGTATTTTAGTCAAAGAAAAATCCCTCCTAAACCCAAGCTTTGGTGGTTTTGGGTTGTTTGGGGTTTTTGGTTTGCTTTTAGAAACAATAACAACAACAGGAACAACAGTCACTTTCCAAAGCAGAGATGTATTCTAAGGTTATGAACTTAAGAGGTGGAAAGAGGTCTTGCTGAAGTTGTAGGAATAACCACTGTATTAATCATTATACCAAACGGCTGCTGACTATAAAGCTTATCCACACTCTTTTCCTACAATTAATTCCAATGTTACCAATTCATTGAATTAACCACAAGAAACATGGGGGTTCATCTCTCTTATTACACTTTTTTTAGCAGAAAACCTTTGTAGACAAACACTACATGAACAAAAGAACACATGGACATACTTTCAACCCTGCTTACCACACTCATCTCCTCTTGCTACTGAAAACAAATCCGCTTCCTCCTACCACTTAGTTTCCCTGTTCCCAACCTGTCTTGGGCAGCTTCACTGCAGTTATTCAGGATCTTGTTCTGTGGACAGAATAATTAGTTGAGATAAGGAAAGTTTTCCACCGATTCCTCAGTGCTGATAGCTACCAAGCACTGAGCTACTGGGAGTTAACATAATGGAAAACCTAGCTCAAATGCTGTTGTAGAACAAGTATCAAACAACCAGCTTGCTCTAGAATAAATGTCCTATTACTGGAAATAAGTTTAAAAATTAACCATGCCAAATTAAAAAATAAAAGCAGATTATACTATTACTAACCATTAACTACTGTGTTACAAGGCATAACAAATGAGAGGCTGAACAGAGTACTACTGCAAGTAATCCAAGAAGTGCTTTTGTAGCTCTATTTAGTTTTTTCTCAACATTGTATAGCTCCTATAGCGCAAGGTTGCCATGTCATTTCACTCATGAGAAAAATTTTGGGGGGGGAGGTTTAAAGCAGAACATCCTTCCCACATCCCTAAAGAATCACACCACTATTCCCAGTTTTAAGAGTGGGCTTTCAGATACATAGGCTTTCATACATAAAAGGATCCTCCTTAGCTTGATAGTATTACACTACCTGTGAAAAGCACACCGTTTAGAGTGACTGCTGTTCAGCTAATGAAACACAACACGTAAGGAAAGTCATCCAGCACCCAGTAACCCTGGTCTCCCGACCACACAAATATTTAGAAGATGGGAAGCAATCCAGCATCTGCCAGTGACAAAATCCAGAAGTGAATTCTCCCTATAGAATTGAATCATTGAAATGGAACCAGTCTTACCTATATCAAGGCCTTTCTTCGTAATCATAGTTTACAGCACAAGAGAAAGAAACATATAAGATCACTCTGCCTTCTGGTAAGTATTTTTATCTCCAAAAACTTGGACATCCGTAATACTGTTGTAGAAGTGATAACACAATATAATGACTGGAAGAGTGACAGATCTAATAACAGCTTTAAATAAAAATCAAGGTTTTTTTCCATGGGATCCACACATTACTTACCTAGGCACACTACATTATGCACACAATATGGGGAGGAGGAGGAGAAAAGGGGGAACATATTTAAAGAAACATCTTTTCTAGTGTTTGTCCCTTCTGTTTTCCTACCTGAGCAGTTAGGATCAGAACTGTGGCACCACCATCCCACATGTGTATGGCTGAACCATCAGCAAAATGCCACTTAAGTGCTACCGTTTCAGCTACATATTTTAGTTAATTACAAGCACTGAGGCAGGGGGAGGGGAGGCAAAACACAGCTGACCTCTTTGCAGAGCAAGGGAGCTTATGTTGTCAAAATTCTGCCTGATTCTTCTTACATTACATGTTGAAACAACTACATTGCTCTTTATATGGGAACTTTGAGAGACTAGTTGAAAGGTTTCCAGGCTTCCAATAAGACTGAAGGCTACATTCAAATAACGCTATGTCAACCTGAGAGCTCCTACATCTTGATGTGCATTGCACATAGATCCCTCAGGACAAAGCTTCAATTCTCTTTGTATTAGTCAAGATTTACCTTGTTTCTCTGCCCTGAGTCTTTCCGTGATCTTTGTGAAGTCCACACATGAAGCTATTTTGTAGTTTTCTTATAGTAAGGGAACTACCTGATAGAGTTACTATAATACTTTGGGCTACATACCCAAAGAGTTACTGAAGATTGCTCACACAGATTTAAATTTAGTATTTCTTAGATCTTTATTACTTGTGCATGCTTTTCCGTTCTCTTCTCCATTATATGGACTAGCACTTTTGCAGTAAGCTTCTACTGAAAGCAGAAGACAGATGTCTCAAGAAGTTTGTCCCACTCTTCTCTCAAGCCCTTCCTAATGCCGACCTTCACCCACACCACCATCCCCTACTGAATCATGTTCTCAAGCCCAAACCCTTACTCCTCTGTTCCCCCCAGTCACACATTCCTGATTCGCCTTCATTCAATGCAGTTCTATTTCCCTATCTCAACCCAACATCCAGTTTCACTTCCCACATGGGACATGCTTATAGTGTCCCTTGTCCCATCTTCTTTCAGATCAGCTTCTTCCCCCCGGGTCAGGTGCAGGAAGAGCTCCCCGCTTCCACCTCAACCGCCCGCACCCAGCACAGCTCACAGCAGCCCCGAATCGCCACTGCTGGCTAAGCTGAGGGGGGATATTCAGAAATTCGTGGCTTTTCTGATCAAAAGTCTCTATTAAGCAAATAAAACCTACGATTTTTAAAGATCTTTGTCCAGAAGTAGGCAGAATTACAGTCAAATTAGAAAGATCAACGTGCGCAAGAGTTGAAAATCCCTGTCTGACGGCATTTTATTGAACCTCTGTACCCACAGGTGTCAAAAGCAGCACCTTACAGAAAAATGGTGTAAAGCCACAGACGGCAATCGTGTGGTGCTGTTCCCTTATGCCTTTCAGGGCACAATTCTCGGAAGAGGAAACCCATTTAATCCAAACATTAATATTCATGTTTACCACATTGTAAACACTTTCAGCACTACTGTGAAACCAAAATCGGCTTGAAGATGTAAGAACAAACTGGAACAGAAGCTAAACAGACTATGAAGCAACTCATCCTGGCTCCGCACGCCTATGCCAGAACCAGACATCTGCCCAGAAACGGTGC